TTCCCATTTGTCAGAAAACACTAAAAATAAACCACAGCTTTCGATCCATTTGGCTTACACTTTACCAGTTCTCTTTAGTGTAACAAAACAGCTTTTTAAACAGACACTTCTCTACAATAATAATTTCTCCCCTTCAGTGTCACTGGAACTATTTGGAGACTATAAAGCTAAGAATAAAATTAAAGGAATCAAGCAGCTAGAACAAATAAACACTTGCCAATTGTCACCTTGAATGCAACCTTTGTTTTTATTTATTTGAAATAAAATATTTTTTCAAGTAAAATATTTACAAATAATTCAAATGCAACAAAAGTTTTGAACTAAGCATTTAAAAGGTAATCCAAGCTAAGTGGAAGATAACTGGGGAAACTAGTTTTAAATTCCATGTAAGACTTACCGTATTTTTCATTCTATAAGACGCGCCTGACCATAAGACGCACCTAGTTTTTAGAGGAGGAAAACAAGAAAAAAAATATTCTGAATCAAATGGGCACATAATCACAGGCACATTCCCCATCACTTCCCCATGGGCTGCACATCTGACAGACTTACTGCACACACATATTCGCTCTATAAGACGCACAGACATTTCCCCTTACTTTTGAGGGGGGGAAAAGTGAGTCTTATAGAGCAAAAAATATGGTAAGTCCTACTTGACTGAAGGTTATCTGCCCATAGAAGCAGTCTTCTGTCCACACATCCGAGGAACTACAAACGTAAACAGTATCTGCTCACAAATAAGCCTCCAAATAGAAAAGAACTCTATCCTCATAGCATCCAAATTGGAATCCACATTCAGATGTCCATTTGAATTCTCATTCCAGGCTTCCTTATTCAGATATTTTATTTACAATCATTGCTTAACACAAGTGCACAGAACCCTGCAGTATTCTTTCAGCATACAAATTGCCTTCCCTGGATCCAGGCAATGAATTCTGGTTAAGCTACAGGGCACCACAATGAACATTTTAATGATTTTGCTATGGTACATCTGGGATCTATTAGCATACTGGAGGTTTCCAGATACCTCATGTGCTCATTCAGTGCATGCAGCCCCCACAGAAAGACTAAACCCAGAATTAATGCTCAATAGTCCACACCAAGCAGACCAGAAGAATTATTAGAAAGCTGTGAATACACTGTATAATGGTACAATCTTCAGAAGACAAGGAAATGGATGGCGCCCTTTCTGTTGTGAGGATTACTTTCACACTGCCTCTAAGGCACAATCCTATGTATGTTTACACAGGGAAAAAACCCTACAACTCCAAGAAAGCCCAAGCCAACCATGCTGGCTGAGGAATACTGGAAGTTGTAGGCTTTTTCTTCAACATAGAACTGCACCCTTATTTATTACATTTTTACACCACCCAACAGTACAAGCTCTCTGGACGGTTCACAACAATAAAAACCATAAAATACAACATGATAAACCCTAATATAAAACTGTTAAAACCAAAGTAGAAACAAGCAACAGTGCAAAGATCTAAAAATACAGTAGTAACAAACAACAAAAATGGAAAACTGTGATCACAAGCAAATACACCAGTCCATTAAATGCAGTGGACTGACTTCTGACAAAACATATTTAGGATGAGGCTCAAAGCATCACAAGTAAAAGTCTGCATAGTTATTTCCTTCATCAGATCTCTCCTGGTGTGAACAAAGATAACATGTGAATTGGAAATATAAGTGAGTACATCCTACACTTTCGTATGTTATGCAATTACTTACAATTTAATCTTTCATCAAGTTATTATGCCAGCAAACAAAATCACATGATCTATGAGTTAGCCCCTCTGGGTTTAAGGGAGTCATGTGCAAATATATTTTTTGAATGGCAGTCTGAAGGTAGGATTCCAGCTTAGGTAAGAAGTGCTTGAGTGATGGTGTGGGAGGTGGCTAATGATCTTCTGAAGTTAATAAATGTGTTCTAAAATGTCTATTTCAAATCTTTTTAATGTTCAGTTTTATTTGGCTATCTCAACCTTTTCCAACCTGACATCCTTCAGTTATGCTGGATTACAAATTCTTGCTGGGGGATTCCAGGAGATGTTGTCCAACACATTTGAAGAGCACAAGTTTGGAAAGGATGGGTTAGGTAATAAACTAAATAATTTAACCTTTTAATCTTTTAAAGAGTTTGTAATTATTATAGCACCAAAGCTTAATTGTTTTATGTAATGCCAGAACTCTTCCAATAGTTGTGATGCTTTCATCCTCACACACCAGATTTTAAAATGTGGTGCATCCATAGTTGTATTTTGGTAAAAATATAGATTCAAAAAATTAACAAATAAATTCCAGCTTAAAATAAATCTGTTAGTGGTAACTGCCCCTCTTCTGCTTGTCTAAACTGTACTAAACGGCTTTACCATCTATAATACTGCCCATACTCTATTCAGGCAGTGAGTGAACCTTGGGCATTTTTCATAAACATTTAAAATGTAAACATTAATATGGCTATATCATCCTGTCATTGTAAAAGATGAATTATTATTGTGAAACTGAAGAAATATCTGTTTCTTTCTGCAAGATGATTCAGTATGCTATCTTGGTGGGTGAGGATCATTTCCAGCTCCGTTTTATACTCTCCACAGTCACAGATACACTTCAGTATAATTATTTTGCAGCTCAGATTCTAGCTCAATGAGGTGAGATACATTAATCCCAATAAACAAGAATGTTCCAGATCAAATCAGGTACATTGGCTCAAACTGCTGAGAAAAGCAATCTTCCTGTTTGCAGATGAAGTATCACTCCAAATAATTCTAACCCCAAGCGTCCAACACTCCTGGATGAAATCCAAAGCACAATCAGATAACGACTAAATCAGTGAGTTTGAAGGAAAAAATGTTTTGGAATAGTTTTAATTTCCCTTTGGATTGTTTAATATTTGGAACAGTTCATTAACTTTTTCAAGCATTGCTTTGCATCATTGAATAAAAGCCCTTTTCGTTGTGAAAGCTAATGTTCACAGGCAGTTTCATGCAATAGCTGAGGGGCTGGGGAAGTGGAATTGATGGCACACAGTTAATGTCCAAAGGGGCTGTCTTATTTAATTGATTATTTGTAAGCTGCCCTGGGAGCCCTTTTGGCTGAGGAGCTGCATAAAAATGCTTAATTAATTTTTAAAAATCCAGCAGCAGTTTATGCATTTCTTAGTATTAAAAATGTACTTAAAATTAAAAACTCAAAACTTTTATTCAGGCACCCCAGTTAAATAACCATGAGGATAGTTTAAAGTCCCATTATTTCAAAGTTTGGTCAAAGAACTGACAAAATAGAAAGCCAAAAACCTGACAGAAATTGAAAGCCAAAAATCTCATATTTTAACACAGATGTTCATGTTGCCAATGTTTTCCTGAATTGTGAGATTTATATGGTGAATATGAACGGAATTTCATACTTTCTGAATAAGCCAACTAAATGACACCAAACTATTCAGGGTGGTTAAAACCAAAAGGATTGTGAAAACTTCCCAAAGGATCTGTTCAAACTTAGAGAATGGGTATCAAAAGAGCAGACGCAGTTCAATGTATGCACATGTTAATATAACACTGGGGCAAAAAAACCCCCCTCAACTTCAAGTACAGTCTGAAGGGATCTGCCCTGATCAAGAAAAGGATCTTAAGATGGTGGTAGACAGCTTGATGAAAATGTCAACAGTGTAGCTGCTGTAAAAAAGGCAGAATCCATGTTAGGCATAAGTGACTAGAGCTGGCAAGATCATACAAATCTTTGGTCTAATCACACTTAAAATTGCCATACCTGAAAAAGGACATTATTCAGTTGGGAAAAGTAGAGACAAAAGCAGCGGAAATGATCAGATGGTTGGAGCAGCTCTTGTATGAATGGCTGCAACAACTGGGACTGTTCAGCTTAGAAAAAAAGTAAGGGGAGACATGATAGAGGTGTTTAAAATAATGCAGTGTGGAGAAAGTAGAGAGGGAAACATTTTTCTCTTTCAACCAAAACACCAGAACCCAGGCTCATCCCATGAAGCTGACTGAGTTTAGAAGAGACAAGAGGCAGCATTTCTTCACATAACATATAGCTGAACTATGGAATTCACTGCCACTGGAATTAGTGATGGGCAGCAGCCTGGATGGTTTTAAAAAGGGATTGGACAGCCATGTAAGACGAAGCTAACAGTAGCTGCTAGCCATGCTGGGTATGTGCTACTTCTTTACCAGACTACACCAGTGGCTAAGGAGCTTGGGCAGGTCTTGCACTCATCCTGACTGAAGGATCCTGTGTGCAGCGGGTTGACCACCAGAGTGCTGGACTTAATGGACCTTGGCCCTGATCCAGCGTGGCATATGTTCTTATAGCACCGATCTAGAGCACTGGAGTAGCTTGAAATGGAGATGATCCGTTTTCTATCTCATAATGGAAGATGATGAGAGTTGTGTTTTTAAACATAAGACAGCAAGTGCCTGGGGTTCCACCTTTCTTATTTGATCATTTAGGATACGGATTCACATCCCTGCTATAATATTGTGGGTTTCAAGACAACAAAACACACATTTTATTATTACTTATTACTGCAATGGTATTAACAATTACCACAGCCGTACTACTTAAGTAAAGTAGTATTTATCTTTCACACGATCGTATTCTGCGGCAAATGCACATTGTTTATACTAGTCAACCCTCCTTGCCGCTCTGTTGCCAACCAGAAGCGTCCGGATCAACGCAGTCGCCCGCGAGAGCGCCTCGTCTCGGCGCAGCTCCAAGCACGCGCGCGCCCGGCGTGAGGCGCCCCGCTTACTGTGGAAGCGGCGATTCCCAGAGGCCTTTGCGGACGCGGCTTTCTAGCACCGCGACGTTCTCCAGTCGCCTGACAACGGAGGCCAACGGCTCCCATAGAGATAATTATACACAGAGGCTGCTGCCTGCGTGGCCGCGAGGCTTCCCTTCAGTATCGCGAGACGGAACGCTCCCCGTCCCCGCGCGCCCTTCAGCCGCCTGCTGCGCTTCTTCCTTCACGGCCGGGCATGGAGGAAGGCGACGGCTGCTGCGGCTGGTGTAGCTGCGAAGAGTCCCTTTTCTCGTTGGAACTGCTGGTGGAGTCGGCGCGCGTGGAGCCGCGGCTGCTCCCGGCGCCTCTGCCCGCTAACGGCCCCTTCCGCCCCGCGGTAGCTCTGCGGCTGTTGGACTTCCCGACTCTGCTGGTGCGTGCGCCGCATGCCTCGTCGGGGCCTCTGGTGCCCTTCGGGCGAGGCAAGTCCTGCCTTTTCAAGCTGCGGCCGGACACTCTGAAGGGCCTCCTGAGGCGCTCCCCACTCTACGCGCTGCTCCTGGCGCTGCCCCCAACGCCGGGACCCGCCCGCCTGCTCGGCTCTTCCAGCATATCCCTGGCCGCGGCCGCCGAGGAGCTGCTGCTGGGCACAGGCCCAGGGGGCCGGAGGGGCCGGTTCCCTCTGCGGGACCTGATGGGGGAACCTGTGGGGGAACTGGAGCTCAGCTATCGCCTCGGCAACCTAGGCTCCACCCTCCAGGGGCACTTAGGGCAGGGAGCAGCCCCCGATGAGCCCCATGCTGAGGAGGAGCAGCAGTCCCAGCAGCTACCCCACAGGCTGGGCAACCAGAGCTTTAGAGGAATCTCTCTCGAGCTCATCCCAGAAGCAGAGGAAGAGCAGGACCCTGCCCCAGAAGGTGGCAGCCTGGGGTCCTCAAGTGACACCCATACAGAGTTTCTGAATGACAACTCTGGCCTTGGGGAGATAGCTAAAGAGCTAGAGATGGAGACCAACATCTTTTGTCCCCCACCAATGTACTACAGCTGTCCATCTGGAAATCCCCAGCCCACACCTAAATCCACAGCATCTGTGATAGTGGCGCCAGCTCAGCAACCATTGCCAGTGGAAGAAACGGTACTTCCTTCTGTGGTGCCTCCTGTTCAGGGGGAGCCTCCAAGAAGTATCCAAGAGACTACCCAGAATTCCCAAACTTTTGGCAGCCCTGAGCAGCTCAGACAAACCTTGAATCAACTGCCCTTGCTGAATGCTTTGTTAATGGAGCTTTCCCTGCTGAACAACCACCAGGTCTTGCAACCCCAGCCTTCAACTGTGCACCCTCAATTAGCATGGCTATACCAAAATGTAGAAGGTACAAAAGCACCATCCTTCAGTACCAAGATTATATGTCCCTGCCAGGAAGATAAGAAAACCATTCATCACAAAGAGAGAGGAAGGTCACCCAGCCCCAAATTAAAAAAAAAAAGCCCAGAACATTTAAAATGCTTTGCTCCCTCCACACGAGTTGCTTCTCCTGCTAAAGGATTTACAAGAATAGCATTCTCTGAAAGGAATGTGAGTCCTGAGAAAAATAACACCAAGGAAAATTCACCCCCTAGAAGAAGACTTACATATGGACTGACAAATACTCTAAGGCTTCGTCTGCAGCGATCCAATCCAGCTATGTTGAAAGTTCATGAAAAAAGGGAGCTTCGTAGAAAAAAAGGAGAAATAGCAGTTGAAAAGAAAGGCAAAAGCTCTTCAGCCAAAGGAAAACTATTTCGGGATTCTCCTGAGCACCTTCCAAAGACTCCTGGGCACTTTGTAGAAAAAAGCATTCCTGATCAAAATGCACAAATTAATGAAAATGTTGAAACCTTAATACAAAGCAGCATTGACCAAGATCGCCCTACCAATGTAAAGGAAGTAATTTCTGTTGCACAAAAGAAGTTTGCAGCCAGTGCTGTGAAGAGTGGTGACAATGCAGAACAAAAGGGATCATCTGAAATGATTGGCTCGGCCTATAAAGAAAAGAGTTTGAAAGTCCATTTGCCAAGAGTCTTTTTACAGGATACTGATGCCATTGAAAATAAAATATATAGCAAAGTAGAAAAATGTTTACAGCATGAGGATTGTGATACTTCAGCAGCACAAAATGATAGCCAAAAAAGCAATAACTTTGAAAGTAGACTTGAACTTAAGAATTCAGATGGTGTGGTTGCCAGCTCTGAGAACACAGCCTATTCAGAAGATTTCACCGGTGTTGACAGTTCTGGCACAAGCTTGGAAGCTCAAGAGAGCAGCCCTGAACCTTTATTGGCAAGCCCAGATCAAAGCCAGTCTGCCACAGATTCAGATTCTAAAATGTCTGAAAGAAGTCGGAGTGCTAAAAGTATTTCACCTTCTCTTCTACCAGTTCCTTCAGGTATATCTCCTGTTCAGTCTCTTAAAAAGGCTCTTGCTTTTAAAGCTAAAGAGAAAACCATAGGTGTTGTTCTCAACAAATTTGATGACTATTCTTTTTCAAGAACTTTAAAAAAGGAACTTGCAGCTGAACAGATCGAGAAGGAAGGCTTCAGAGATGCACAGGCCTTTGAGAATAAAGAAATGAGCTCAGGCATGAATTGTAACATAGCAAAAGAACAATCTTCTATGGAAAAGAGCTGTTCAGTGAGGACATCTCAGGTTAGCTCTTACTTGCCCTCCAATGTGTCTGACCTTGATCTTAGTGGGCTAGAAGACAGAAATATATCTGACAAAGAAAAAGAAGTTGACTTTGAGATGGTGGATATTACGAATCAGTGTAAACACATCAGTGAATTAGTAGTGAACAAACTTCCAGGATACACAATGTAATTACTAATAATAATGACTTGATCAAAGTGGAAATGTCTTTATTTTTATAAGAAAATATATTTTTGCAACATTTTATCTGTTTTTCACATTCAGTTTTTGCTTTATAAACAATGGATAGACAAAGTACAAGCAGTATTTTTAATTTGGCAAACAATCACTGCAGTTGCTATGTAGCTGGTTGGATCTTGCTCTTCCTTCCCTGACATATATGCTACAGTAAGCTGCTTTTGACATTTGGGGGAATTTCAAAAACAGTTTTAATATGGGTTAGAAACTGCTGTAGAAATATGTTTTTTAAATGTTCCCATTGAGCGATTGAAAGCTGTTGGATGTACCCAAAGCAATTCTTATTTTTTGTTTCTCACTTAACATTAAAAGCAAAGTAACTGATGTCTGCTAGGGAAACAAGCTGCAATCCTCTTCCCAGGTCAACTTGTTCACTAAAGTCAGTGGGACAGAACAGACCAATTGTGTGCAGGACTGCAGTTAGTTTTAAGAGAAACACAGCTATATTCTGCCAAATATAAATTGTATAATGAACTGTTGTTAGTTTAAGATCATGTTTTCCACAAGAATGATCAGTAAATATCCAATATACATTTACATTTGTAGATGTTCTGTGAGCCGTCCCGAGGCTATATAGCAAGGGGACGGCATACAAAAACTTTAAATAAATAAATAAATAAATAAAATGTCATACTTCTATAATATACATTGTGATAAGCAACATCGTTCTAAAAGTAAGCCGATGTGTTTCTATGATACTGTAATTCATATATATCAATCATTGCAAATACATCTTGTGGAAGGGTTGGAATCCTGTTTCAGTTTAAGTCTTTTAGAGAATGACAAGCTTACTGTGTGAGTTTATGATTCAGTGATAAGTTTCTCTCCTAAATGTTTTGCTTGAAAATTGCATTTTTATACAAACTTGGACTTTATTTCAAGGCCAAAAACTTGGAATTAGGTCAGATGATTTATCTAAATAATACTGGTATTGTTCCACTTTTCATTATCTGAACAAAACATTTTAATGTGACCTTCAGAAATATTTTCCTCTCCCAAGAGTTTGGGTATCAATCTCTTCTCCCCATGGGTTGCAGTACTTGCAATATATCATCAGAAAGTACTTTGACTTCTTTTCATTTCGTCTCTTTTGATGCTTTCTACTTTATTACATTTTGGTCCAATATGTTGATTTATCTCAAAATTCTAAACTTCACATGTGCATTATTACTTTAGCTTGGTGTTTGCATTGACTATCATACCTTTAGTTTACATCATTTTCACATTTCACCTGCTGCTACTTTGCATATTTAAAATTCATATCTTGGACCTTGATTCATTTGCATGGCCTTTAATATCTTCAAGGAAATTTGGAAATTTTAAATTTGAACAGACTGTACAAGTTGTATTTTATATGCATGTCATATCCTAGGACCATTTAAAACTTACCTTCAGCAGCTATTTTTTGTGAAAGAAGTCCTATTGCATGCATTTTTGTGTGGGGGCGAGGAGAAGTTGAATTTCACTTCATTTGAGAGAGAGAGCATGAACATGACTTAGGGTATTATCTAGAAAAATCTCTGAAAGTCATTAGAGCAAAAGTAGGCATGCAATGGCATAGAATAAATCTTTAAGAATGGGGCAGATTCTTAGTGACAGAGTATATGGATTCAGGGTCTTCAGCTTATTGTATTAGGGTCCAGAAAAAGGACACAGGCTGTTTGCTTTGGCAGCCACCACATGTTGGCTAGAGGAATATTCCCAGCGTTTGCTTTCTCCTTTCCCATGCCCTCCATGCAGAAAGGTGCATAGCCAGAAGAAAGGCAAGTAGTGGATGTGTACCTTAGCCGTAACTACCTTTATTTGTATGAGAAGGAAACTCTCTCCTCCAGCCCAGGAGAAAGAGAGAGAGAGTGTATAAATGGATTTTCTTATTAAGAAAGAATGCATGAATAACTCCTTAGGCATGCAGGTCTTTTTTCCTATTGCTGTGTAGTGATGTGCATTTTTCAAACAAAAAAGCAAAACAAATTGTTAAATCTTTTCAAGTCTTACTGTCTACTCTCAGCTGTACAATAGAAAAGCTGGTCAATAAGTGATGGAAACTTGGACAGTGAGAGGGACTGCCTTATTTATTATATTGCTAATGGATCTTGTATGAATCATGTGGGAGGGCATCCCTGTTATTTTTGAAGGCCCTGACTAGACCTGATGTGGTTCGTATTTTTTGGTCTTGTGTGTCAGTATGAAAGTGTTTCAACTCAAATAGCCAGTGTGGAGGCTGGGATTTTATTGAGCCTGCGGCAGCTCAGGTTTTAAATCTTCCAGTGCAACAGTTCTGATCTGGCTCCTCCTCTGCACAACCATCTAGAGAAGGAGTAGGCTTTGTCATACTGTAGTACTGAGCGCTGTATGCCAGACCCGTTTGCTACCGTACAATTGCAGTTTTTTAAAGCATTAAAACAAGTGTGTCAAAGGTTCAGTCATGTGGCAGTGGTAGCACACAGCAAATCACCATACGCTGAAATGATTAGAGTTAATACTGTCAAGTTTTTTTTCTTTTTTGAAAGCCCAGCCAGTAATGAGTAGAAGTTCAACTCTTTTCAGACTGCCCTATTGTTGTTCCAGTTGAATATCATGATTATGCAGTAGTTCTTCTACCATCACACTCATATCCAGTAATTATTTGAGAACTAGAACAATTTGTATACAAATAAGGCTACATTTCTAGCAAAATAAAGCAGCAACTGGAAAGCCAGATAGAAGAGTTTTCCTATTTAGTATATGAAGATACCATAAATATACATTAATAATGGCTGGGTTGAAAATTGGAAGGTGAAATAAGGTTACATAATAGGACTGCAATCTTATACTCAGTAAGATGACAGTCCTAGTGAACTGAGTGGGATTATTTCTGAGCATACATGTATAGGTTTGGCCTGAGATGTATTTTGCTACTTACAAAATGTGGGTTGACTGAATAATATTCATACATCCTGTTGAAGTTATAAAGATGGAAGACTGTGTACACGTAAGAATAAGTCTCATTAAATTTGATAACATTAACTTGTGAATAAGATACGATCGAGCTGTAGGTGCATCTTTGCTAAAAGAGTGACAGGTACCAAATATTTAAGGGTTAGAGCTAAATGAAATCTATTTAATCTAAATTGTCAGAAGTTATAATATTGCATTATTGTGTAGCACGTAGTAAATTTCAGTATTCTCTTCTAATTTTAAGTTATTAAAATCAGGTTGAGAAAGGAGGCGTAAATACAGAATTAATGAGCTGTCTTTTAGAGTAAAGAGACATTGTAGAATGGAAATGTGGAGCAAATTTAGAGATTCAGTTTTAGGGAGACAGATTTTTAGCGAATAATTATCCCAATAATAAAATAATTTACTACTTTGCTTGCATTTGGATTCAGTTCTCTTTTGTCAATCAAGACAAAATCTAGGAATCGTCTGAATTCACAGGCAGACTTGTGGATCACAATCAGCAAGAAAGTTCCATGTTTTGACAGAATTGTGAATGATAGAATTTTATGTTCACAATTGGGATTGATTTTAATGTTTACAATTTTTTCTAATTGCTCAATTTATATTTGAATTTTATGCACTGAGTTAAAAGCTTATTTTATGAGCTCAGTTTGTTCATCTGCGGTATGGTATGTGGTTCAATTTGGTTCAAACATTAAAAATATTACTTCTTCAACTGTGATGCTACTTTTTAGAGCTGCAAACATAAATCAAACATTTTCTAGGTGTGTGAGGCATAGAAAGGGTTGGGAACCAGTGGTCTAGATCTAGGTACTTCTTTGATAAGACTGATTTTCTGGATTCATTTCAGTAGGGGTTCAGACCTTGTGTTATTACTGAAACTGCCTTGGTTGCCCCATATGATGACCTGTGTCAGGTGAGAAGCTAGAAGAATGTGTCACTATTGATACTCCTTGACTTCTCAGTAAGTTTGGAGACTGGTAGGAAACAGGCCTTTTCAGCAATATTGCCATGTTTATGGAATATTATCAGTTCTATTTTTGTACTTATTTTGTACTTTTGAACATTAATTGCACTTTAATCATTGTGGGCTACCTTCCTGGTATACATTCAGTGCTGTGAGCAGGGGAAGGCTTTATGTATTTGTGGATGAACACTTAAAACTACTTTCATATTTTAGGATATGTATATTTTTACTGTGTTTATAGTTTTTACTGATTTTGGTTTTTTTTCTTTTCTATGATATTAATAGGAAATGCATTGCATTTGTAAGTCACTTAGAGATTGAAAAGCAATGCATGATTTTAATAAATAGTCTATTTATTATTTGATAAGCAAGGACATCCACAATATAGACTGGCATGAGTGTGTTTGTTTTCATTGATTGGCCATATAATGACTAGGATTACATGATACTCTCTTTCAAACCATTGTCTTTTACTGTGACTCACTAGTTTTTCAAATTTGGAATTTAAATCTTTTTATTTAATATATTTAAGTAAATGTAATATTCCCTCAGGTATGTAGAATCATCAAAAATATGATTATTTATGTTCTATATAATTATTTCTGTGCTTTATGATTGATAAATGCATCCAATAGCTTCATCACTCACTGTTTTAAAAACAAATTATTTTCATTTTCTTCTATTCGTTTTCTGTAGCTTATCCAGCAGATAACTACTTATGCATGACTAAGAGTATGACTGAACAATGACATGAATTGTTTGATTTGGCTCATTCGTTGTGATGTATCTTTTTGTTCTATCCTCTACATAAATACTTGCTATCCATTTTCTATCAGTATTGTGAAAGTGAAAATTGGCCTTTCTTTACCAAATGAACTTTGCTCTGATCTAGCGATATCTAACTTGTTGGAACCAATATAACAGAATAATCATAGCTAACTTAAATCCCAGTGATTTCATTGGTGTGACTTAAGCACAACTAACTTCAAGCGGGTTGTTTATTTTAAAAGTTCAGTCCAGTTTATTTGTTTCAGCCATTGGCCATAACAAAACTTGACAACAAAATAACATCCAAAAATAATAAAAGTAATCCATTTTGTCAGTAGTCAAAGAAATATATGCAAAACAACTCCACTGAGTTGAAAGAGTCCAATAGCCAAGCATGATTAC